ACAATCTTAACAGATTTGGCCAATTTGTTACAATCTGCATTTGAGTTTTTTAGTTTTGTGGCTTTGCAGGCAGGATTAAAGCGCAAGTCTATAAAATCTGACTACTATTTTGATATGGAGTATTGCGTGGAGTATTCAACATTTCAAACCTTAAGAAATCGTAAGTGCTCATGCTGGTTAAGCAAAGAAATACACCAATATGTATATGATTAATCCTAGGCACATGAGCTTGAGCATTCCCGTTTCTTCTTTTTTTTGGTGTCAGTAAAATCTTCCGAAAACAAGCTCGAGTGTTCTGCCGATGTTGTACCTACGGAATCCACTGACTCTCATTTGGAAGATAAAAACTTTAGCAAAGAGCTTCCTGTACTTGATATTTACAGCGGTTGTGGTGGAATGTCGACTGGGTTGAGTCTTGGAGCCAAAATTTCTGGTGTTGATGTCGTGACGGTACTTGCTTTAAGTAATTAATCTGTATCTCTTTAACTTGGATGGACACCTCTTTTGCACTCAGTTTCCATTAAAAAATCTGGATTCTATTTTCTTCTTTTTCAGAAATGGGCTGTTGACATGAATAGAGCTGCCTGTGAGAGCTTGAAATTGAACCATCCACAGACACAGGTCATAATAATTTTTGGTGCCAGTTGCTAGATCATTTTTGGGAGAATTATACCAAATCTATTGATGCCGTCTTTGTTTACAGGTTAGGAATGATGCTGCTGGAGACTTTCTCCTACTTTTGAAGGAGTGGGAGAAATTATGCAAGCGCTATGTGTTTAATAATAATAAGACAACTGATGCATCAAGATCCGTAAATTCGACAAGAGAAACCAGTGAAAGTAGCTCTTCTAGTGATGATGATTCGGAATCTGAGGAGTACGAAGTTGAAAAGCTGGTTGATATATGTTATGGTGATCCTGATAAGACAGGAAATAATGGTCTGAAGTTTAAGGTATGTCAAGACACTATGTTGCAATTTTGTTGGTGATCGAACCTTCTTAGGGGTTTAAGAATGTTCTCTTCACCTTCTAGAACTTCCAAGATGGAAATTCTGCATGTCTTGGCTCTTTTATGACGTTGTAGCTTTGTGAAGATGAATTTATGCTCATGGCTTATCATTAGGTGCACTGGAAAGGATACAGCAGCGACGAAGATACTTGGGAGCCAGCAGAGGAATTGAGGTATATCTTTAAAAATAATGTTAAAAAAAAGGGGTGTCTGTTGATATCTGGAACTAATTAATTTTGTTTGAAATTTTTAGCAATTGTGAAGATGCCATGNGAGAGTTTGTAACTAATGGATTCAAGTCCAAGATCTTGCCTCTTCCTGTAAGATTCCTTTTTCTTGCCTCTGAATTGAATACTTGATCTTTGATAGTTGTATGATTGTACCATCAACATCTAATTGCACTAAATGTCAATGATTGTATTTAAGGGAGGTGTTGGTGTGATATGTGGGGGACCTCCATGCCAAGGAGTTAGTGGCTACAACCGCTACAGGAATGTTGATTCTCCGTTGAATGACGAAAGGAATCAGCAAATTATAGTTTTTATGGACATAGTGGAGTACTTGAAACCCGCATTTGTGTTGATGGAAAATGTTGTTGATATTCTGCGTTTCGATAAAGGTTCTCTTGGGAGATACGCTTTGAGCCGTCTTGTGCACATGAGATACCAAGCAAGGCTAGGTATCATGACAGCTGGTTGCTATGGTCTTTCCCAATTTCGGTCCCGAGTTTTCATGTGGGGAGCTGATCCAAACAAGGTGAGTCTATGAGGCCTCTAATTAACTTCCTCAAGCTGACCGTTTCATACTTAAATGATTTGGTATTTCATTTCAGAACCTACCTCCGTTTCCGCTTCCAACTCATAATGTTATTGTCAGATATGGGTTCCCACTTGAGTTTGAGGTAATAATATCGGTACTTACTTCATACTTTGTGCTTTGGCCTTGTCGTTCTCCCCACTTAACCCATCTTGGCTTTCATGTTTCAGAGGAATGTGGTTGCTTATGCTGAAGGCCAACCCAGAAAACTTGAAAAAGCTCTTGTTCTTAAAGATGCGATATCAGATCTTCCTCATGTATGTTTTATTTCCGTTTGATCCATTTGCAATCATGGTTAATCCTTTATAGGTTAAATATTGTGG